TCCGCCTACATCCTCCCCCCTTCTCCCTCAACCTGGTCCCCCTCTTCAAGCGGGAGCGCAGGGGAAGGGGTAGGACGAGGGGCTCGTCTCGCCCTCCTCCTCGTCACTGTGGAAGCGCGGGCGCCGCCCAGCCTTACCCTCGACCCAATGCTGCGCCCGGCCCGGTTGCACGAGGCACCACCCTCGAAAGACCCCAGTCGAGCGACGATCATAAAGTTAAGTCGGGCCTGTCTCCCTACAGGGGAATGTTCGACGAAAAATAAGAAATACCCCAAAAATAATCCAAGAATAATCCAGAAATGGTCTGGGGACTATTTTTGGGGTATTGTTTGACCATGTTGGGGTATGTTTGGTCTATGTTTTATGCTTCGTCGAAACTCCCCCTCTAGGGGGACACTCCCGACTTAATCATAAAGGAATCTCACGCGAAATGGCACGGCGACCTTATGCGGTGGCATACGCGGGCCACCAGCCCGGCACGCTACGCGTGACCCTACGCGGGCAGCTTACGCGCCAATGTCGGCTCTGACGGCCCCATTGTTTCTGCGTCGCTCGGTTGACTCAACTGAACGGCCCAAGCAGAAGGTGAATCGCTAGAGGATCCAACGCGGAGGCGATTCTCGTTGTGTCCCTTACCACCTCGAAAGTCATCATTGCCGGTCGCGCGCCGGGATCCCTTGGGGGGCCACAGAAGCCTGACCCCGTCCCCGCGATCCTGGGCGAGGCGTGGGGGGTGCTCTGCGAGGAGCAGCAGGAGCATTGCGGGACGCGCTCCTAGCCGCCCTCACGGGGACAGGCCCGGGCACGGGCACGACCACCATCACTGGCTGAGCCCTCGTCGCACAGCCAGACGAATCGGTGGGTCAGGCCGGGCGCTTCACCTGAGATCGTACTGCTCCTGAAGCTGGGCACTGCCAAATCCGACAGCTGCACGAATGCAGGGCTCGTGGCTTTCAAGAAGCTACTACCGTCGCAGATCGCCGCTTAAGCACCAGGCACATTCGTCTCACACGCTTCCAACAGCTACGCGGATGGAGGGGGGTGGTCTCCAAAATGTGGCTCTCGTCTAACTGCAGCGCCGATTCGTCTTCAACGCTTCGATCTGTGGCTGTCGCCTTGGTGCTGCCCACACTCATCAACAAAAGCGTGCCACCATTAGTTAGTACACATGGAGGGCCGCTCCTACTCAAAAGGGGGCGCCCGCGCGTAACAGCATCACTCAAAGTTTGTGCAGCAGCTACGCGGAGTATGGGCGGCGTCATGTCAAAGTGTGATTCACGCTTGAAGCCAAAACAAAACACCCAACGGCAACACGGATGGAGGGCGGACACTTTTCGATTCGGGGTAACACTTTTTTGAATTCCATGTTTCTGCGTCTGGGCGTTGCCTACGACTGCATGGGTTACAGTCGGCTCCTTTTCAAAACGGGGTTGTCGCCCGAATGGTAACCTCATGGGACTATGATCCTTCAAGGGGGTGCTCCACGCGGTGGTATAAAACTGAGGCAAAACCTATGGGGAGGAAACCCGGGACAGGAGGGTACATTGAAGCATCGTTGACGCATCGAGGGTATATACTAGTCCTCCGCCTCTTCCTCCTGCTCCTCCTGCTCCTCCTCCCCATCATCATCAGCAGCAGCATCATCAGCATCATCGTAGCTAGAATCAGCAGCATCATCCTCATCAGCATCATCAGCAACATCATCACCATCATCATCATCATCATAATCATCATCGTCATCATCATCATCATCATCATCATCATCATCATCATCATCATCATCATCATCATCATCATCATCACCATCATCGTCCTGCTAAGCCCCTCCTTTTAAGCTCCTCCTCCTTCCTGCTATTAGTCTCCTCCGCCTGGCCCGGGGGCACCCGAGTGGGCTCCCGCCCCCGGCGCCACGGGGGACCCCAGGGCTCTTTGGGGTGCGGCCCTGGTCGCGCCACGCCACGGCGGCAGAAACCTGCCGGGCCCCGGCCTCCTCCCCGTCGGAGCCGGGCGCCGCGCGGGCACCTTCCCGCCCGCCCTCAAACCTCCCTTGCCGTCGCTCGGACGTCCGTCTCCCGTGCATGTGTTTTGGCTTTCGTGCGTGTTGTTTGTTGTTCGCTCGAGGGTCCAGGATGGCTCCCGATGGCTCTCGCCGAGAGAACATGCACACACGTCCGAGCGATGCCGAGCTCGGTCTCCCCGGGCGTGTCGCCGGGGCCAGGCCGAGCCTCGGCCGCCCACGGGGGTGCCGCGGAGGTGCCGCTCGCCCGCGCACCCGGCGCCGTGAGAACCAGGAGGAGGGAGGAGGAGGAGGAGGAGGAGGAGGAGGAGGAGGAGGAGGAGGAGGAGGAGGGGAGGAGGAGGAGGAGGAGGAGAGGAGGAGGAGGAGAGGAGGAGGAGGAGGGAGGAGGGGGGAGGATGAGGAGGAGGAGGAGGAGGAGGAGGAGGAGGAGGAGGGAGAGGAGGGGAGGGGGAGGGGGAGGCAGGAGGAGGAGGAGGAGGA